AAAAGCAAAAGAGTTTGTGGAATGCATCAAATGTATGCTTCTCATCACAGTTTCTATCTAAATACATTGCATATCCTTGGTGAGAATTGAAAATTGTTTTATTTCCGCCGTGCATGATTAAATAAATTCCTAACATAGCTTCCATTCCAAAGTAAGAAAAAAGTGACCTACGATTTAAAATAATACCTCAAATCCTTATGTTTTATCATAGTCTTGAGATGGTTAGCTAGAATATCGCAATGCCTTGAGGAAAAACTCTTCGTAAACACATTAAAGTGAAAAGCATATCTGTGTAAAATGGAAGTCATGAGAATAAGCTTCTAATAAACTCTACTTTTCAATTACAGAGATTTTGGATATGCTAATAAGATTTCGTCCCATACACTTGATAATTGTCTACATCTCATCTCGAGGCACTACTGAAATGGTTTCTTAGGAACTTATCTGTGTAGCATTAATAAATTTGTTTACTTATTTCAACTTCGCTACCCCATCCAATTCTTTCCCTTTCCTTGCATAGGCAAACACTACACTCTTATCAGATTAACATTTCAAATTGCAGATAATAATTGAATCATAATTTTATTTGAGAAGGTATGCCTATTACAGCCCAACATTCCAGTTTCCTTCAATATACAAAGTGTGACCTTAATCATATTGTTCATCTATCACTTGATTGCGGATCGACCTAATATTCCCTCAATATATATAAACAGCTTTTTAGGAGGCCTTTTTTCTGGGACAGAGACTGAGAGGCGTGAGATCCCCATTATAATTTTCTTCTTTGTTATAGGAAAACCAGCCACAATGAGATAACATAGTTCTCATATTGATGGTGAAGCACAGTAAATTTATATCTGTTAGTTGACATAGTTCTCATGTTGACGGTGAACCAGGGTAAATCTATGTCGGATTTGGGTTGCGTTTTCTTCTTTTCATTTTTCTTTTTATTGCTTGAGATTAGGGCTTAATCCATAACATGCCAAGCTTATGTAAACAATAACCAAAAATAATTGTGTAGTTTTGCAACAGAAAATCGCTAAACAGCCAAAAATTCAATGAGAACTACAACAATTTGAATTTCTTTCTCTCCTCTTCTATATCAAATTATTTGAACCCACATTGGGGATCCTCAAACCATGAATTCACTTTTGAAGCTACTCATTCTCACAAATTTACAGCACGTTTGATTGTGCTTAAAAGCATTTCCTCTCAGCAACTAAGAACAAAGAAGAATAAGAAACAAGCAAAATGACATTATAAAGAATGATAGCTTACAGAGGGAAAGCAACGAATGCCAAGATTCTTGGGTGGAGGAGTAATTTCAATGACTTTATAGGGGTAATTGTTTTGACCCCCTCTGTCTCTCTCTTTTTTTCTGCATTGAATTTGTGGCGACTGTATATGCAAAACCAAAAATCACCAGTAAACTTCAATAATTCAACAATGTCATAAAAACTAACAAATTATAATTCCACTTAGAAACAATTGTAGTGCATAAAAAGATTGTACCTTTCGCAATGTTGAAAAGCTAGAAATCGCTGCCATTTTCTCCCGTTGCTTACTCTCTGGTTTTGGCTGATCTTCTTCTGCTCTCTTTCTCTTGATTTTATGTATTGGGTAAAACGAGATATAATTTCAGGTAAAATATGTTTTATTTCGATTACGAAGAAATGGTTTTGGCAAATTGATAGAAGATTTTTCCGGCGGAAGAGAAAAGCAGACAACGAATACGAATGACAAGTTTTTGTGGCCGAGATTTCTTTATTTTCTCTACGAAATTCATTTATTAGAAATTAATATTCAATAGCTTGTTTTATGACAACTCAAGGCTTAAAAATTTGGAAAATGCTATGGGTACACAAGTATACCCGTAGTAATGGACACTCGGAGCCCCATCATTGGAGCACAACCCTAAAAATTTAAAAAGTTAGGGCTTTGATTTGTGTTTTAGTCAGTTTTCAATTTTGAGTTATTGCAAAATATATATTTGATTTGTCATTCTCAAAAATTATTTCACAAAATAAAAAATTAGAAAATCATGATTAGAAATTATTTTATAAATATTTTTTCCCGTTAATTGATTATTCAATAAATATAATAATTTTATTTATTATATAATTAAACAATATATACATTTTAAATTCGATAACTCTTGCAATATCTTTCCAGTGAATTGTTTCAAAAATCATCGGACATAAAACCTTAGTCACAGATTACTCACTGAATTTCAAATTATTTCAAAATGCTCACTGAACTTCACGTTTGCACTCCATTCATCACTCTAAAAAATCTGTTAACTTAATTGCTGATGTGGACGATGATTTTCTTGCATGGCAACTAAAGCTACTAAATGCGTGCCATGTCACCTAACAATCCTTGTTACCTTAAGTTGGACACGATTTTAACCTAAAAAAAAAAAAAGAACATAGAAAATTTTGAACTGAAACTATTTACCCAAAACCAAACTCAGAAGTGACGATCGAGAAATTGATTTTCCCCAAATTTCTTTACTAACTCGATGTTTCTTGGAGTTGTTTATGTTTCTTAAAATGGAAAAAGAGAATCGAATTGTGGAAACTACAGATGAAGCAAGGTACAACATTGAATATGCAAGCAACGAAGGCTAAGAGTATAAGTATTGGAGATTTGGGTTTTGTTGATTTTGCCATGTGGATCTTTTGGATCGCTATTGGATATATATATACTCCTGCATTGGATTTCTTTGGAATTTTTGCATTTTTCTTCTTCAACATTTGAATATTGTTAAACTCGTTCTTCACCAGGTGAAAACCTAGCCAATAACTGAGGGAACCTTCTCCGCGTACCCAATTACCTGGTGGAAGTAGAAACTAGAAAGCCTAATGGGGAAAGGAGGAGAAATTTGGGAAAAAAATATTTGGGTGTTAGAGCTGGTCTGAGATTTTTATGGTTTTTTAATAGAGATTAATAATTTTTTAAGGTGACATGCACGCATTTAACAATCGTTAGTTTCCACGTAAGAAAATAGTCATCCACGTCAACAATTAAGTTAATAGGTTTTGGGGAGTGATGGATGAAGTGCAAACAATGCAAGTTCAGTAAGCATTTTAAAGTAGTTTGGAGTTCATTGAGTAGTTCGTGACTAAGGTATAAATTGGGTGATTTTTAAAACCTATCACTATATTTTTTGCTGCAAAATTAGAATAGAAACTAATATTAAATTGAGTCAACAAAATATAAAAAATTAAAAAAAAAGATTAATGACGAGAATTTTTATTTGTTTTTATTTAAATAATAAAAAAAAATTATTTTTCAATTTTTATTCATGTAGATTTTATTTTTATTTTTCAGAATTTTGAATTAAAAAAAATTATGTTTTTTAGAATTTTTATTTAAATCCATATGTTTTATTTTATAAGTTTAAACTTATTTTCGAAAATGCGACCAATTTTTTTTTTTTTTTTTTGATGTTTTACAAAATGAAAAACTGAAAACAACTTGAAAAAAATAAATCTGATTTAAAAATTACTTAAAAATAATGGTAAATTCACTATAGAGTTCCTAACCTTTTGTTATTATGATACTTATATCTTCAACTTGTTATTTGCTGCAGCCCATATCCATCATATATATGGTCGGTTATGTTAATATATACATGTACTGCTTGTCCTCCGATGAAGGGGTTGAGGTTTTGAAAAGAATGGTCAAGAAAGATGCTATCTATTGGTATTTTTTGTCATGTAGTGATAAGTGCATCTCATGCGTTTATTCGTAATTCGATTCTTGTTTTGTTATTATTATTTTGAGTGAATATCTACTTAATTTAGGTTAAATCTTGTAGATTGTAGGTAAAACTCATACATGACAAGTCTAGATGAAATTTGATTGAAGAATTGAGCTCAAAATAATCAAGTCTTAAAGATGAGGACTTACCATGCAAATAAAGAGGACATGGGATGCACAAGAACGTTATTTGGAGGACCAAAGTGCACTTAACTATAAAAAATTTCAACTTTTGTGGAATTCCTATTTTAACTCAAATTCCACATCGGAGATGTTTTAGGACTCATTTTCAGAGTTATTCTATATTTCTATGTATTATTATTCTTTCTTTTTATTGGTACACACAATATTAGAGAGAGAAAACACACAATCATTAAAATCAAATGGCAAAAAGTAAGGGTTTTAAGACTTTTGAGATTGAAAAAGATTATTAATGCAATATCCAATTCTTTTCTTCGTCATGATTTAAAAACTCAATTATGTTAACTCTGTACTTTTTGTTGTTTTTCTTTCATTAGTATGAGTAGCTAAATTCATAGTTAGGGCAAACAATGGAATATATATGTGACCCTTTAATTTAATTTTCAAGATTTTAGTAGTCTAATTTTTATTTGTTAATTTTATTTATGGTGTTTTATACTTTGAATTATTTGGTCAATAATTCAATGATCTTGTAAATATATAATGAGTTGAGAAATGAGTTGTAGATTTAGACCACATAGTAAAATTCAGGAACTAATATAAAAGCGTAGAGATACATTTTTCTAGTTAATACAGTCGTTTCATGGATTTTTGGAGATTTAATGTGTTTAAGTAAGGTGTATCCGAATTGACATAGAGATCGAAATTGACTTCTAATTAAAATCAGTTTGAAGTGAGTGAGGTAAATTGAATATTTTAGAAAAATTTGATCGACAATACAATAGTTATGAATCATCATTAGCAAATTAAAGAGAATCTATAGATAAAATTGTACGTTATAGCATCTACATTCTTACGTTTAAAATTTGAATTTGATTAATTGTTCACATATCGATAATTCTAGTATAATTAGAATAATTTAGATATTCAATCACAAACATCTTCTTTGTTTTTCATCATTTAAGAGTTAGAAATAGTAAATTAAGTATTAAATTAGTACTCGGGAGAACTATTATTCGGACTCATTGATCCATTATATTACTTGTTACGATCCATAAACTTGTGGGATATAAAATCAACAAATTTTTATCGTCGTTGTCGGAGACTATTTTTATTTAATATTGGTTTCAATTATTTCTTGCTTTTGTTTGATCTTTTTTTCTTTTTCTTTTTAAGATGATCTACTTATTTTTTCTTTATGATCAGTATTAAATATAATTAGAAGAGGTTTGGGGATTACCTCAGATCCAAAAGTTTTCTAATGTGGGCTTCTTAGCAACTAGGGCATAGTTCCTCTACGCATTCATTGTTTTCCTGCCAACATAGGACCTCCAATTATGGTATAGATCTCTTCACACGAGGCCATTAGTGTGGGTTTTCGTGGTTGCTTTCGAAGAATCCACCTGCCTCAACTTACCTCCTCGACTTCGACCTCTTGGATATGGATACTTTCAGCTTCTAGAACCCTCATGCGTCCCATCCTGCTGATTTCATAGCTTTGCCTTCCTAATTACCTTAAAGCATTCATTTGTGTCATGGTCCTTGCTACAATGAATTTTACAAAGTTCTACCTTTCGATTTCTAGGGAATGGGGGGCTTCGCTTTTTGCTTGCGAAGGAGTTGGAGAGATCATATGTATTTTGCATTTATGATCGCTGAGGGAGTTGAAGAGGTCATATGTACTGATACTTTGGCAATCTAGGTACATATGCCGAGTCTTTTCCCTTGAGAACTCATGTATGCTCTATCTTTCTTTAGTTTTCTGTAATGTCCTCCATCTGGATTTCAATTTGTATCAGGCTCGCAAGCTAGTGGTAGAAGGTTGGATTCTTGTTACGGACATCCCGCTAGAAGGGAGTCTCCATTAACAAGTCGTTCCACAAAGCATCCCGAGCCTTCTTATTAGATATATTTTCGCAAGCGATCAGCTCAATAATGAATAACGCAAAGTAGCTTTTAACGAATTCTCCTTCTTCTTGCCTCATGTCATTTAGTCTTGTAGTTGTGTTTGGATGAAACCTGCAAGCATTTAGGATCGTTGACAAGTAATAGAATTGATGAATTGAGTTATCGTCCCATGAGGAATAATTGCTAACTATAGTTTACCAAATTTTATCAAATTTTTATGTTGGTACACAAAAGGATGTGATGTTTGTGATTATCCTAAATTAAGCTATGAATAATGTAAAATATTGCTTTTATCAATTGATGGGATGAATGTATTAGATTTCAGATTCCACCTATCGATTTCTATTTCCAATTCTTGACTTAAGTGAGTTAGTGTTATTCAAAGTGTTCAGGATAATTGATAATTCATTAATATCTAATATTCTTTTCCAATATATATTAAACCAATCCTTAGCTCAACCCGATCCTATTCTTAGTCTGAATTCTTATACAAAGAAAACATTCAATTGCATAATTACCTCTATAGATTGCACAAGCCCTAAATATTATTCATAATACCTAGAGCTCACGTGTCAAATGTGTAGTGTTCTACTTATTGCGAGTCTTCCAACACTACAATAAGCTCAAGTTATCTAATGCTAGCTAAGCAATCAAATAACATAATATTCATGCAAATCTGGAACTAAACTATCCGATATTCAAATGATACAAATCTGGAAAAAGAAAATGTCAAATTTGTGTCATTGGAGATGGTCGTCTGATAAATATCCTCTACCTTCCGTACGGGTGATACTTTCCACTCCCAACACCCCCATAGCCTCTATTTCGATAGCGTGACCTCCACTGCCACCTCCATAGCCGCTGTCACCCCTCCATAGCCACCCCCAAAACTAGTAACAACACTGTATCCTCTATATCCACCACCACCATATCCTCCATATCTCTCACCAGGCCCACCATACTCGCCACCTAAATCATAGACTCTACCATTACCTCCCCCATAACGGCTGGAATATTCTAATGAAGGATCCCCTCTAAAACCTCCATAACCACCCACACCACATCCACTGTAAACACCAAGTTCACTTCTACCATACCCACAATAACTGCTACCTCTACCTCCATAGGCTCTTGTACCAAAATCTTTTTCACCAAATCCATCGTAAGTATCTTCAAATCCAGCTCTTGAGTTACTCAGCCGCTTAGATGTGTTGTTATATGCGCTCAAAGAGACGGAGAGAATATCAATTTTTCATTCATACGATAATGAGTAAAACCGGCTGCAACATATATAGAAGCCATACTCCTTTTACATCACAAAAGTGTCTAACAAATCACAATCCTTACCTACTACAACTTGACACATTTGACAGCTACTATTTGACTGTAGCACTATCCCTTACTTAGCTTATAAAACTTAACTTAAGCTAGAATTTAGTACATCAAAAACATAGGACTAAGGACAATAAAAATATCAATGCTAAATGTCAATACTCCTCCTTGAGACTTTTGTTGGAAACATTAAGGCAACTCCTCAATTTTTCAAATCTTCCTTTAGGTAATGACTTAGTAAAGATATCAGCATATTGATCCTTGGAGATGCAATGCATCAATTTCACTTCCTTCCTATCTTGAGCTTCTCTTATTGAATGATATTTGATCTTTATGTGCTTTGTCCTTCATAAAAAACCGAATTTTTCACCATTGCCACAGCTGACTGGTTGTCACAGAAGATGGTTGTGGCCTCATCTTGTTTGTGCTTCAAATCCTCTAATATTTTTCCTTATCTAGATAGCTTGATTGGTGGCCTCTGAAGCTGCTATGTATTCTGCCTCTGCAGTGGATTGAGTTACGATTTTTTGCTTCATGGAATTCCAGTACACTATGTTTGAATTAACATAAAACACATAGCCTGAGGTACTTTTCATATCATCAACTAAACCAGCCCAGTCACTATCTGTAAAACCAGTGAGCAATAGCTTTTCTGATCTATTGAACCAAACCCTAGCTCCTCTGTTCCTTTTATATATCTCAACACCCTTTTAGCTGCCTGGAAATGAAGTTCACTTAGCTCATGTCTAAATCTGGATAAGATATTAGCTGCAAAGGTGATATCTGGTCTGGTAGAGGTCAGATATAATAGGCATCCAACTATGCTTCTATATACTTTTTCATCTACCTTCTTGGCTCATCCATCATCAATTTCAAGTTCAAAACTAATGAAGTATTTACTAGTCTGCAACTTTCCATACTAAACTTCTTTAGCATCTCTCTGATGTATTTCTTTTGGCAAACAAATATCCCCTTTTGAGTTTGAGATATTTCCATGCCAAAGAAAGTATTGCACCTTTCCAAGGTCTGTCATCTCAAAGATCTTCTTAATTCATCCTTTACCTGCTTGATTAATATGCAACTGCTACCAGTAATCAGAAGATTATCCACATATAATGAGATGACGATCATCTCCTTTTTCTCTCTCAATATCTCCTCCTTTACTCATTCATGCTTATTGAAAAACCAAGTATATTCAGATGATCATCTATCTTACTATACCAAGCTCTTGGAGCCTGTTTCAAGCCATACAAGGCTTTCTTCAATAAATATACTTTTGTCCTCGTTCCCAGTAACTTGAAAACCTTTTGGCTGATCAATAAATATTTCATCCTCTAAGTGTCCATTCAGAAATGCTGACTTGACATCTAATTGGTAAATTTCCCGGCCTTTGTGTGCTGCTATAGCAAATAGCAATCTAATGGTTTCATACGTTGTTACTGGTGCAAATGTGTCATTGAAGTCCATACCGTATTGTTGAGCATACCCCTTCACTACCAGTTTGGACTTTAACTTATTCACTAAGCCATCTGGATTCAGTTTTGATTTGAACACCCATTTCACCCCAATTACTTTCTTATCTCTTGGTCTGTCAACCAGCAACTAGGTTCTATTTTTCTCAATCATATTTAACTCCTCTTTCATTGCAGTCAACCATTCTTTTGAGCTTGCAACCTCAGCAAAGTTTGATGGTTCCAAAGTGGTTGAATTACACCTAGAATATATATCTGCAAGTGGCCTTGTTCTGTGATCAATATTCTTTGAATCAGACTCACCATCAGATGTTACCTCTTCTTCATTGACATCGCCATCACCTATCTGAGGTGTTGCTTTTGGAATTTGAGGTTGACTGTCACCAGTTGATTCCCAATTCCAAGCGGCTTCTTCATCAACTTTAATATCTTTGCTAGAGATTATTTTGTTGGTATGAGGATTGAAGACTCTATACCTTTTTGTATTGCTGCAGTAGCCTACTAGAACCCCAACCTCAGCCCTTTGACTGAGCTTATCTCTCTTTACTTTAGGTATATGTGTATAGTAGAGACTCCGAAACACTTTCAGATGAGAAACATCTGGTTTAGTTCCATACCAAGCTTTAAACAGAGTTTTATCATCTAATGATTTTGTAGACGATCTGTTGAGTAGATATACTGTGGTATTTACAGCTTTTGCCCAGAACGCCCTTGGAACTTTCGTTTGAATCATTAGGCATCTAGCCATTTCCATAACCGTTCTATTCTTTCTTTCACATACTCCATTCTGTTGTGGTGAATAGGGAACAGTTAGTTGATGCTTTATCCCCACTTCTTTACAAAACTTGTTAACTGGCTGCAGCAGTACTCTGTTACATTATCAGACATGATGGCTTTGATTTTACTATCACATTCATTTTCCACCAAGTTTTTGAACCTTTGAAACACACTTGATACCTCTGATTTCATCTTTAAGAAATATACCCAGCACATTCTTCACATATCATCAAAGAGGAGAACAAAATATTTACTTCCATTCAATGTTGATGTCCTCATTGGACCACAGACATCTGAGTGTATCAATACAANTGAAACACACTTGATACCTCTGATTTCATCTTTAAGAAATATACCCAGCACATTCTTGACACATCATAAATGAAGAAAACAAAATATTTACTACCATTTAATGTTGTTCTCTCATTGGTCCACAGACATCAGAGTGTATCAGTTCAAGCCTTTTTGTTGCCCTTTTTGCTTGATTCTTTGGAAAAGATAATCTGATTTGTTTACGAAGTTGGCATAGATCACACATACAATTATCAAGACTGATTTAAGGAACATTTGCAGCTAATCCCAGATCATGCATTTGTTTAAGTAAAGAGTAGTTAGCATGACCAAACCTTTTGTGCCATAAGACAGAGTCAATGACAGTTCCAGCAAGTGTCTGATCTCCTACATTTTTCCATTCTAGTGGGAAACTCCTATTTCTCATGCCAATAGTCATTACTTCTTGA